CACAGGGGTACAGTTACCCCTGCAGGGACATGGCATGGGCACAGCCACCCCCTGTGTGCCCTCTGCAGGGACATGGGCATGGGCACACAGCCCTGGGTGCTGGATCCAGACACAGGGACACGGTTACCCCTGCAGGGATATGGGCATGGGCACAGCCACCCCCTGTGTGCCCTCTGCAGGGACATGGGCATGGGCACAGCCACCCCCTGTGTGCCCTCTGCAGGGACATGGGCATGGGCACACATCCCTGGGTGCTGGAAGGGAACCAGACACAGGGACATCACCTCTGCCAGGGACATGGCATGGAGCAGAGTCACCTGGGCCATCAAACAAACACAGCAAATTCCCCATCCTGCAAGAAGCTGGGGAACTCTCCCAGAGCAAGTGCAGCTGGGGCTGGGGGTGAGAAGCAGCAGCTGCCAGCAGGGAATGCTGAATGAACCCTGGGGGCAGCCACGGTGAGCACAGCCCGTGGATTCTCCAAGGTGCCAATGCACACCCCACTCACCAGTGGGCTGGAGAGACTGGCAAAAATAACAACTGCTGGAATGGAAGCACACACTGCTCACTGCACCGAGGCTCTCACAGCCCACCAGGAACACACCAAACTCCCAGAATCACAAAGCCCTCACAAGGCTGCAGATACACATTTTTAACAGCAATTAAATTCTTTTCCCCTTTTGTGATCTTCTCCTCTGTGCACATCTGTGGCAATAAGATGCACATGACCCCAAGCATAAATGAAGTTGTTCCCAGCAGGCTCTTCCAAGGAAAGCTCTTCTCCAGAGCTCTCCTCACCCTGCAGCAGTTCCTGGTCACACAGCTGCTCCTGCACTCTGCATTTCCATCCCTCTGCCTATTTTGGGGATCTGCAATCACAGTCAGACAAAGGAGCAGGAAACAAATGACTGGGTCAGAACAAAAAGGTGTTTCCCTTCCTGTGTAGGAAAGGTAAAGGTGACAAGCAGAGGAAACACCGGCACAGAGCCCTGTGTGTCTGCCAGACAGAAATTCCACCACTGGGGAATTTTCTGCAAAGAGCAGCCCTTCCATGCCTGGAGGGTGAAAGCTGTGACCCTCCATGGCACACCAATTCTGGCCAAAAAGCCACATTGTCTCTGGTAAGGCTGAAAGCACAACAGGTGGGTAAAGCCACCTGGAGAGGGAATGAGGAGCTCACAGAAGGAATGCTGATGGCCAGGGGCTGTGTGAACACAGGGCCACAGGCCCAGCCCCACCGTGCCATGGCCCCCTCTCCATCCTGCATCCCAGCAGGAATCTGCAGCACCACTCAGCAGGGACAGCCCAGCCTCTGAGCAGGGTGGGAATGGGTTTGTGCCAAAAGCAAACCAAAACCCAGATTCCTCCCACAAGAAAAGCTGTGCAGCTGAAAAGCTGCTGAGCAGCCCTGGCCTGCAGGACCTCACCACACAAATGCTGCTCCCCAGGAGCCAACACCCAGTTTATTAGTGACAAACCCACCAAGAGGGACATTCACCACATCACAGAGCAAATTCCCAGCTCCAAGGAGGCACTAACCAGCCCATGAGGCAATGAACAGCCTGCAAGGACTGGGGGGATTTTTTCCTGCTGTATCAGTGATCTTTGAGCATCCTCATGGCTGACAGACTCCTGATCTCACCAGGGGGACTGTGCTGCTTATCAGAACAGCACATGAGCTGCTAAAATCCTGCCAAGGAGATGGTTCAACCTGTCCTGAGCTAAACCTGGACACCAGGATGAGCTCCTGCCTTTGGGATGGCTGCTGGGCAGGAATGGGGGCAGCTGCTGTCAGTGGAACAGAAGGGAATTCTCACAGGGAACTGGCTGGGACACTGAGGCTGCCATGGGGAGCAGATGTTTCCTCAGGCCAGAGGATGGAAATAAGATCAGCTAGAGGAAGCATTATTTGTCTTTTTTAAAAAGTAGACTGCAGGAGAAAAGAAAAATCAAGTTTTATGTATTCTGGCTGCAAGAAGTCATTTCCTTCATGTTTGCCTTTATCCACAGGAGCTGATGTTTTCACTTCTGGCGGGTGGCTTCTGTCCTGCTGGGGACAGGGAAGATGCAGGAAAAGCCATGTCCCTGCTCCCACCACGTGTGCACACACAGACACACGTGAGAGCAAACCATGTGTGCTGCTGGCTTTTGTAGGGAAATCTGGAATGCACTGAAATGGCTGCTTGGCATGGAAAGCACACATGGAGCTGCGGCTGGGCATGGACAAGCTTGTCCCCAAGGGCTCTCGTTGTGGTTTGTGTCACTCCTGAGGAGGCACACACAGAGCCCTGGCAGGGAAAACCAGAGCCCAGCACAGCAGGAAAACCTAAAAACCCTTCCCCATTTTCAAGGCATTGCTCACAGATGGGAAGCCCAGCCAGAGGAGGGACCTGTCCCCAGCTGTGGATCCACAGCTGCACTGGCTCCCCCTCAGGAACCTGAGGCAGGGGAAGGAATGAGGTGCCACAAAGGGTGGCACTGCTCAGCTGTGCTGCTGCCCCATCCACAACCTCACTGGATTGTGAAAATTCCCCCAAAGCACAGCCAGTCAGAGCTGAAGCTCCCATGGGTTTCACAAGGAACCAGCATCACTCCCTAGTGTGAAGCACTCCTGCCTCTGCAGCTGTCAGCAGCACCCATCAGAACTCTGCCCATGTGAAGTTGATGGGCACTGTGCAAACCCCAGAATTCCTGAGTGGAGTCTGCAGGAGTCACTGCTCACTCCCAGCCTGCAGCCCAACCCACAGCCCAGGCTGATCCTTTCTGTGTCTCTGCACTCACAGAGCTCTGGACACCCCTTCCCCAGGGAAAGCATGGTGCCTCTGACACTCAGAAACCATCTCACAATGTAGCCTGATCTCCAGATGTGTTTAGGGCTGATCTACTCCCCTTTGGGTTTGTGGCAGCATGAGCAGGTTCAAGAGTCCTCTCCCACCCCTTCCTACCTGCCAGGTGTCCCCTTTGGGCTCCCCTGATCACCCAATGGCTTTTCTAGAGCTGCTCCAGGTGGGAATCACCTTTCAGCAGATGTGCCTCACCCTGACCACTCACTCAGAGAAGGAGCAGAACCTTTGGAGCACCAAATGAGTATTTCCACATTGAGGAAATACCTCAGCTGACTTCTCTTCAGGCTGCTTCCTCACTGTTTCCTCCCAGAGGTTCCCAGTTTCCCTAAAACAAGTAACTCCTGCTCTGGTGGAAGGTGTCCCTGACCACAGGATGAGCCTCAAGGTCCCTTCCAACCCCAACCATTCCATCACTCCATGAACACACCTGCCCTCTCCTTCTCCTCCTCCTGCATTCCCAAAGGCTGTTTGTCCATGACAAACTGGTCATGACCAGCAGCCCATGTTACACTATAACCCTGAGCACTATTTCTAACCTAAAGCAATGCTGGTGTGACACCAAACCCCATCAAGGAAAGAGAAAAAAATATTCCCCAAACGTTAAAAAAAAAATATTAATTTGGTAGAGCTGAAGAGCCATTAAAGCTTTGATAATTAAAAGGACAAATAAAAAACTGCCTCTTTAATAACTTATCTAATATTCAACATGTAACCTGGGAACCTCAGACAAACATTCCAGTTAATTACAGCCCACAGCCTCATGAATGTCTATGTTTAAAGTACATCTTCCCCAGTCACTTCCTTTCTGACCTTCTTCACTGGTTAATTATTGTGTGTGCATGTGGTTCACACAGAAAAAGAAAAAAACACACAAAGAAGAGGGGGAAAAAAATCCTCTTGGAACTGGCTCCTAAAGCAAAACAAAACTGGTCATTCTCAAAGTACTCTGAGCTGCAAATAACAAAATGAAGCCATGTTTGCACTCCCAGGGTTCTTTACTACACACAAAAATCATTTCTCTATGTGCCCTGCCTGGTCAAACCCAAAAACTGAAAAACTGTTCCGTTTTTTTTTTTTTTTTAACTTCTTTTAGCTTAACCAGCAAACTGGAAATATGAGTTCTTCTTTTTGCCTTCCCACAAAAATCTGCCCAAGATCTGCCTGGTGGTGCCAAGCAAGGTCAGGAACTCTCCTGTTTCCAGCAAAGGTGGGTCAGGGCCAGCCTGGGTGCTGTGAGGAAATGTCCCTTTTCCACAGCCCTCTCACTGGGAAAGGACAAGGCAAATTGCAAATCCTGCCAACTCCAGCAGTGTTGCTCCAGCCTGTTCTTCAGCCTGGGGTCACAGAGGGAGCTCTGAGAGGGCAGCCGGGCACTGAGAGCAGAGCTGCTCATTCTGCCCCAGAGAGAGAAAACTGCACTTACACATCATTTACTGCTTCACCCTCTGCTCATCCATCCTCCTGCCTCACTGTGCATGGATCCCAATCCCAAAGCCCAGTGGCACTGGCTGAGTGTCCCCTGTCCCTGTGTCCTGCCTGCAGCCCCATCCAGGGGAGCTCTGAGGGATGAGGGAACCTGCTCCAGGGACAGCTCTGGCCCGGAGCCACCCTGCCAGTGCAGCCCTTCCTCCTAAACCCCAGGTCCTGTTTCCTTCTGAGTGAACTCCTTCCCCTTGGAGTGAAATGGGTTTGATTTACAGCTGAGGAAATGCCCAGCCTGATCCCGACCGCTGCAGGGTGTGTGTGGGTTCTTAAATTAACACAGATGAGCAACAACATGTTCCCTTTTTCCTCACCATTGATTAAAAGAGAAAACATCACACAACGCTGCCTGTGGTGCTCTTCTGATCATCTTTGATTCTTGAGGCTGAAATGGCTGAGGGAAACACCTGGCTGAGGGAATCACCCCAGGACAGCAAAGTCACACCTGAAGCTAAAAACACCAACCAAAGAAGGGAGCCTTGGCCAGAGAAGCAGCTCTGTGGCAGAGCCCTGGAGATGAAGGGCTGGAACACAAACCCTGTGAGGAAGCCCTGAGGGAGAAAAGGAGACTCAGGGGTGTCCCCATCACCCTCACAGCTCCTGAAAGGGGCCTGTGCTCAGCTGGGGCTGGGCTCTGTCTGCAGCAGCACTGACACAGACAGAGCACACAGCCTCCAGCTGCACCAGGAAAATACAGGTTGGATACAGGGAAAAGCTTTTTCCAGCAAGGTGATGAAGTTGTGGAATGGCTGCCCAGGGAGGTGGTGCAGTCCCCATCCCTGGGGGTGTTTAACACAGCCTGGATGTGGCACTGGAGGCCAGGGTTTGGTTTGTGGGGCTGGGTTGGACTCCATGATCTCTCAGGTCTCTTCCAACTCAGTGATTCTGTGAATTCCATGAATTCTGTGCAGTTCTGTCCCTGCCTCCTCCCTTGCTTTAAGCAGTCAGGGATTTTCTTGGGCTCCCCAAGCGCTGCCAACTCCCCCACGAGAGATCCAGAGAGGCTGCACGGGGACAGCCGTGGGACTCGTGGGGACAGCAGGAAAGGGATGCTCTGAAATTCCTGCTAGAAATCCTTCCAGTTATCCGTGACAGTGTTTTGACAATGCAAATGGCATCTGGATGTGGGAAGAGAATAAACTGTGATGAATATTCTGCTGTGACCACGCTTCTGGCCCAATCTGGTGCTCCTGGGAGCCAGTGACAGCTCTGCTATTGCTTTCAGTGGGTGCAGGTTTCACACCATCCCTCTTTACCCTGGGGCTGGGCAAAGGAGGCTGTCAGCCCCCCTGACACATCATTCAGGGAGTGTAAAAGGGCTCCAAATGAACATAAAAGCAAATTTAGCCTCCCCAAATCCCCTTTTACAGCACCCCATCAGTGTAAAGGGAGCTGCAGCAGAAATGAGATGCTCTGAGTGTAGTGAACACAAGTGTTTTCCCCTCCATTCAAATCCATAACGACAAGCTGGGATTACTCCAGGAATCCCATGAAGTGTAAGAGTCCTGGATGAAGGGGAATTTCCAAGTCACTGAATGTCTGAGAGCAGCATCAGCCCCTGCTGAAGACCCCCCAGCCCCAGGGAACAGCACCTCATGGGGCTCCTGTTCACATGGAAGCACCTGGGAAGGGGTTGGACCCACCAGGCAAAAACTGTTTTCTCTGGACTCCACTGACAGCTGGGCACAGGAAAACTGAAAATTCCCAGCAACAGAACACAGAGCAGCTGTAGAAATCACCCAGTGGGGTTTGTGTGAGGCTGACAGGCACTGTAAGACAGAGGGCAGGGCAGGGGGGCTGTTCCAAGGCACAGGGATTCTCTCCCAGTGTGGAAGCAGAAAGAAGATCAGAACTCTTTCCAAACAAAGACACTTCCAAGGTGATGGTCTGACCAAAGGAGCAGCCCTGAATTCCCCAGCTAACCCAGGCTCAGGGTGCTCCAAGAGCACTGACAAGGCACTGAGGCAGGGGCCTACATGAATTTATCCCTGTAATGTTTTTGCTGTGTGAGGTTGAAGGGGGAGTTCTCCTTTCTCTCCTTTTGAACTCTAAAAACCCTGCACGCCTTTTCCTCTGTCCCAGGAAGCACTGGGCTGCTGGGACACAACATGCTCAGTTCCTGGGACATCCAGAACTCAGAACTGACCCTTTTGGTGAGGGGGTTTCCACACCCTATTCCTTTGCCAAGCAGCCCCATATCCAAAAAACATCCTGGGCTAACACAGCTGGGAATGTGCACCAGCCACAGGAGGCACTGAAGCTCCCCTGCTCTCACACTGAGATGGAAGCAACAGCGCCCATGCTCTACAGAAGCACCAGCATGCTGCAGAAGGATGTGATCCACTACAGCTTAAAAAGAAAATCCTACCAATATAGTTCCAAATAAAAATTACCAATTTCAGGCAAGATCTTATTAGCCCATCATATACGTTTAACTCAGGAGTTTCTTCTGATGGAGTCAAGAAGAATTACTGATTTTCAAATTCTAGTTCAAACCTATCCTGCAAAAACTCAGCAGCATCTAATCATGAATGAAGACACCTTGTAACATAGTCTTAAAAAGATATTTTGAAACTGCTGGGGCAATTACTGATAGCCTCTGCCCAATATTTAAAGATTTGGATGCAATGAGCAGGCAGGGCATGGCACCAGCATTCTGATCATGGTTTTTGAGGGGCACCAATGTGGCTGAAGAAATCATATAGATAAATCTGAGCTGTGGGACACATCCCTGGGCCTTCCAAGAAACAGCTCAGCCCATCCCATGTTGTCTAAACTGCAACAAGCAGTTTAGAAACGTGGAGCTGGACTAAAGGAATTAGTGTTGGTGGCTCTGAATGACATCCATTTGGAGCACACAGGCAAAGCAAGAGCAGCATGGCTGTTTCCTGTGAATAAGACAAATGCTACGTCTACCTCGGTGAGTCAGCCAAACCGGGGGGCAGAGTGTGAAAATGTGAGGGATCTATTCTTCTGAAAACAATGGAAATGGGGAGGGCTTCCAGCAGCCACCAGCACAGCTCTGGGACTTCCGTGCACTGCCTGCTCCAAGCTCTCATGCCCTGGAACAGCAACATTCCCAGCAGCTCTGTGCCAGCAGGAGAAGGAAGGGCAGCAGCCCAGCCTGGGCATCCCCAGGTGCAACATTTTCCCCACAAGTTTTTGCCTTCACGTGCACTGGATGTGCAAGCCACGAAGCAGGAACTTGAGATTTCTCAGAATGAGACACTGCAACATGGGAAACCCCACAGAAAACACAACAATCTCACAAGTGTAAAAGAAAGGTGAAGATGCAACAGCCCTGACCTCACTGCAAAGCACCTGGGTCCTTCCACAGGCACAGGTGAACCAAACCTGTTTAAAATGACCACACTGGGAAACACAGGGAGGGGATCAGGTTAGCCCAAAGGAGCACAGAGGTGGCACAGCTCTGCCACAACCCAGGTTAGCCCAAAAGGGGCACAGAGGTGGCACAGCTGTGCTAACACCCAGATAACAACAACCCAGATTAGCCCAAAAGGGGCACAGAGGTGGCACAGCTGTCCTACAACCCAGTGAACCAGCCAGGACTGCTGAGCACCACCTTGGTCACCCCAGGGCCACCTTACTGAGCTTCCTGCCAGGGCTGTACAGCTCGGACACCGACTGCCAGGGCTTGTCTCTCATGTGACATTCCTATGACCACAACCAAGGAGCAGGAAAAACAGCATGCAGCAAAGCCATCTCTCCCCATTCCTTGAACTGTCACACTAACCCCTGGCTGGTGCACATCAAAATGTGCAGAGAACCTGAAGAGAAGAGCAATGTTATCACTCACTGCTTCCAGATCGTGAGTGGAGTGGGACTGATGTCACTCCCCTACCTCCTACCCACCCTTTTCCTTTGACCTCCTGCCCATGACCCTTCTCCATCACAGCTTCTCTAACTGCAGCTATTTGTACCTACAGCTTCTCACTCAATGGATGAAAATGAGACTCCTTTTGCTACTGTCCACATCCTCCTGAACAGCTCTGGCACAACCGATGGTTCTCACTTTCACTGCACTGCTGGTTACAGGTAGGAGAGGTGCCATGGTCACCAAAGGCTACCTGGTCAGACCTGCAAACAGAAAAACTGTTCCCACCTGGAAACCCTGCCTAACTCGGCATGTAAATCTGCAGAAACCTGCCGTTGGCAGGTAAATTTCTATAAATACCCCCCCTTCAAAAAACAGCCAAACTTTGAGGAACGCAAGGATGCTGAGCAGCACCGCGAGCCTGGCACAGCCCGGCGCGTCCAAGGAGCGCAGCAGCCGCGCTCGCACACAAAAGGGAGGAAGGCGCTGGAAGGGAGCTCTCTCTCCATTTTCCAGCCACGGGAGGTCGGCGCTGCCCTCCCAGGTGCGGGGCCGGGGCAGCGCCGGGAGGCGGCCGGGGCAGGGCCGGGCCGGGCGAGCGCCGTGCCGCCCATTGTGCGGCGAGAGGGGCTGCACAAAGCGCCCGGCCGGCCTTTGTTCGCGGGAGCGGAATTCCACGGCTCCTTTCCTCCTCTTCCTCCCTCCCCCGCTCCCCGCGGGAGCTGCCCCGGGGGAGCGGCCCCGCGCTCGGCGCCGCCGCGCCCGCTCCGGGCCCTTTGTGGCGGCCGGGGGGAGCCGCGGCCCCGCGGCCGGACCCTGCCCGTGGCCCCCGGAGGCCGGCGGGGCGCGGGGCCCGAGGGCCGCGCCGGGCCCGCCCGCCCCCCGCGCGGTGCCGCCGCCGCCCCGGCCCGCCCGGCCCCGGTACCTGCTGATCTTCTGGGCGAAGGCGCGGCGCTCGGCCATGGCCGCGCTGCGGGCTCCGCGCTGCCGGCCCGGGCAGCGCTCGGCCGCCGTAATGCTCCGCCGAGCCGCGCACTTGAGCGGCGCAGCTCCCACCCCCGGCGCTCGCCGCGCCCGCCGCCTCCTCCCCTTCCCGCCGCGGGGCCGCTCCTCGCACATATACGGCGGGGAGTGACCGCGGCCGGCCCGCTCCTGTCCCCGTCCGTGCTCCTGTCCCCATGCCTGCCCCTGGCCCCATCCGTGCCCTTATCCCTATCCCCGTCCTCTGTCCCCATCCCTGCCCCTATCCCTGTCCTCTGTCCTCATCCGTGCCCCTGTCCCCATCCCTGCCACCGACCCTATCCCCGTCCCCTGTCCCCATCACTGCACCTATTCCCATCCCCGTCTTCTGTGCCCATGCCTTCCCCTGTCCCTAATCCAGTCCTCTGTCCCCATTCCCATCCCTGCTTCTATCCCCATCCTTTGTCCCCATCCCTGCCCTTGTCCCTATCCCTGTCCCCATCTCCGTCCCCTGTCCCCATCCCCATCCCCAGGGTCCTGACCCCCTTGGCCTCGGGCTCCCCTTGCGGTGCCGCGTTATTCCCGAGTGAGTGCAGAGCGGCTGGGGTTGTTCTAAGCACTGATGGGGATCCATCAGTGGTTTGGGGAAAAGGCTCCTCAGCATCGCTCCTGGCCCTCAGTCCAAAACTGCTGCCAGACCAACCCTTGGCAGCACCAGAATCCCAGGATCACTGGGGTTGGAAAAGCCCTCCAGGAGCATCGAGCCCAAGCTGTGCCCAGTCCCCACCTTGTCACCAGCCCAGAGCACTGAGTGCCACCTCCAGTCCTTCCTTGGACACCTCCAGGACTGGGGACTCCAAACCTCCCTTCCAATGTCTAATCACCCTTTCCAGGAAGAAATTCCTCCTGATGTCCAACCTAACCCCCCCGGTGCAGCTTAAGACCTTGCTGGGGGTCATGGCTCTGCAGGGCATGGCCAGGTCCCCTGGTCAGACAAAACTGGGCTCCCAGTCAATCCTGCCCCACATCATCCCATCTTTTCCTTCAAAAAGGCTAAAAATTGTCCCTAATGATGTTTCAGGAGATGGTTGGAAGATTGTACCATCCATTCCCACCAAACATGCCATTACTAGCAGTGTCTCCAACCACATCATGGTTTGGGATTATCTAAGGGGAAGAGGAGTAGAAGGTGGGGAGTCATTAACAAAAATTACTGTTCTGTGACTCCAAAAGAAGACTGAGCCCAGAACATGATCTAGCAGATAACACCAAGTCCCTGCTACCCAACATATGCTGTGCACTAATCCAACCCAGGGAACTATTAATAGTCACCCAGGAAGTGTCCCAAAGCAGGAGTGTTAATTCCCCCCACTCCATCTGCTTGGCTTGTGTGAAGGTTTCCCTCACATGCAGGACACCAATCCTTCCCCTGGCAGAGCTGCTGATTTCCAGCTGTGTGCAATTCCTCTGCTTTGCTGTCTGTGTGTGTTTGCACAGGCAATGACCTAAAATCTGCAAATATCTGTGTGTGAGTGATGCCAGGGGATTTAATGCAGCCACCAAGTGAATCCCTGTGGTGAGGCTGTGCCCCAGGACACAAAGGTGCTGTCATGTGTCACACACGTGCACACAGACAGAGCCCTGGGAGCAAAGACCCATTGTAGGCACTGAGAAAGGGATGTTCTTCTCCAAGGGGGAGGGGAGGAAATATCCCACAGACCTCGGCCAAGACAAAAGACTCTTGCTCTGGAGCTGCTGCCTGTGTGTGGAACTGCACACCAGAGAAGGGCCTCACACTGTGCATGGAATGGGATATTTACCTCCTTATCTCCACAGAAATTGTGGCTGCCCCATCTCTGCAAAGATGGACTGGGCTTGGAGCACCCTGGGATAGTGGGAGGTGTCCCTGCCCAAGGCAGAGGGATGGAACTGGATGAGCTTTGAGGTCCCTTCCAACCCAAAGCACTCTGGAATTCTGAGATCAAATTCCCAAATCTGAGTGCGTGTGCCCACAAGAACAGACCAAAACATCAGGGACCACCAGCAATGCTTCCTCTTCTCCCCTTTTTTATACCCAAAATGGCACCAGTCTGGAATGCAGGAGGGCAAAACACCCCTGCCTAACCCAAACCCTGAGACCAAAAGTGGGAATCTGCAGTTCTGAGAGGAAAACTCTTCCTGCTGCCAGAGGGTGCAAAGAGCAGCCCAGCCCCAGCAGCCCTGGCACAGAGGGCATGGAGTATCCAAGGTCCACTGGAAACCTTTGGAATTTTAGGTTTCATTTTGCCCTCCTGCCAGCCATTACCACAGAGAAAGGACCTTGGTGAGGCTCTGGGCATTCCTTGCTGAGTTTTGATGTCTCCTTTGCTTTTCCTTGACTTTTTGTGTAGCTGAGAGCTGGGCCAGAGGAGCTGCAGCCATCCCACCTGGATTTAAAA